TTGGACTTCCTCCTTCAGTATCATTGGCTCTTGATCATATGCTACCTCTTGAAACAGGTGAACATCAACCATTTCCTTTTGGTACAGTGACTCTGTGTTTTCCTTCCATCTTCTTTTCATGCTTTCTGCATCCTTCAATAATTTGCCCAGAGAATCCTTCAATAACGAAAGTCGAGGCTTGAATTTTTTCTTCAGTTCCCCCAGCATGAGAAATGCTGAGCATATTCTTCTTTTTTGTTTTTTTGCTTCCAGATCTTTGCACATTTTATTGTCATATTTAATTGTAATTAGCCACAGTGCTTCCCAGAAAACAAATTGGAAAGATATAGATGTTAATTCAACTATCCCTGTGTTGTGGCAGTGGAGGGATGTTGTTTTTCTTCTGAATACTTTTCTGTATTTTCTATAATGATATTTATTATTTTAATCTGAAAAATTATACTCTTTTAAAATTGGTATGTATTCACTTCTGATTCGATTATTAGTCAACCCTACACGGTATAACCTATAAGGATGAAGCTTTTTTAATTTAGCCAATTTTCTTCTAGATAGAACAAAAGTGCATAGGGTAGATCCTTTCTGTGCTGAAGTGTGAGCACATTTGCTTTTCTGTTAGCTGTCACTGCAAACTATTGTGAGGTGAGAGGGGTGGGGAGGTGTCTTGAGGTATACAAGAGTCGAGTGACATCACTTGGCTTCAATGAAAAGGACCTTTACAACATATCCATCTAAATGCGTAGAAAATACTCATCACTGATAAGTCACAATATATTTAATGATCTTTTCTTCTCTAGAGTATGGACCTCACTAACAAGGAACATTCAAGGTATACATGTATTAACAAACTGGAATATGAGAATGAAAGGCTCCGAAATGATCTTGCAAAACTTCATGGCAATGGAAAATCAGCATGGGGTAATCAGAATACATATGCAGAAACAGTAAGGGACGCCTGTCTAAGCCAGATGAAAATGAAAGAAAATGAAGATAGGTATGCTGACTCCATTCTATACAAACTGAAATTTATAAGCATTTAATTCAAATGCATTTTTAAAGCATTTAAATTTCTGTTTTTTAGTCTCTTCAATTCTTAAAAATAAATTATAGTGATAACACATAGTAATCTCGATACATTGTTTCTCAGAAATCCTGTCTTACCAATGTTGTTTTGTTGGATGCAGTTGAGTTGGTTCCAACCCACAGAGATCCTGTATTGAG